TAAGAATTATCGTGTTTTACGATACAAGTGTTCACAATTAAACTAGGTGTTATATATTGTTTATGCAGTACCATCATTTCGCCTGACCTCTGCTGGCACACTCCTCTCCCCACTAATCCACCCCCAGTTTCCTTCCTAAAGAGCGACTATCATTGGGGCGACCGAACTTGTTCGTTTTGTGCAAGCATTTGCTGTAGGGAGAAAAGTTCAGAAAATGGAACAAAATATGATTACAGCACAAATCTATAAGCAATCACCGCCCTTCCTGACTATCCGAATGGTTCCTGTGTAAATGCTGGCGCCCGAGGGTTTTATGAATTGGGACAAACCACAGACTTTTATTTATGAATTTCTTCGTGTAAAGAGTGCACTGGACAGCAGCTTTGACCTGGCTGGGTCTCATCAATGGTGCGCGAGTCCATCGACCCAACTGGGGATCGAACCTGGGGCTTGACGGGTAGAAGGCAAGCATACTACCCAATCGGCCACCCCGAGGCAGCTGATCAGACCGCTTTTCATTGTTCTTATACACGATATAGGACAACTAATCTTTCCGAGCTTATTGCGGGCATCGTACCTCGCGCATCTCAGCACTAGCCTCCAGATTGATTTTGACCAGGTTGGAAACTTTCACAACCCGACCACAACAGACTTTATCAGCATCTCATTCCATTGGAAATAGTAAAAAGTATTTCCCGTAGGGATTTCTCTCTTATATACATAGCTCAATTGTTTTCTGATGTCGGGGTTTTTGCACTCACCCATCTATTTCGCATCCGGATCATTTACTGAGACTCACACTGCTGCCCCTCTTTTCCATTTACACACAGTCACGTCTTCTAACAGAGGACCAAAACGCGACTTGAAGGGGGAAAGTAATGTGCAGTTCAGCTGAAACGGCTCTAAACTAACGACTAGTTTCATCACAGTTAGTAACTTTCAGCTAATATACTATTCGATAGTGGAACGAACGTATTCCATCTTCTTGGTGTAAACTTTTTAAAATCTAAAAGTCATAAGTTAACAGTATGTCATTTGTTGATATTTTAAAAACCCGAAACTAATCATTAAAAAGTTGTTTTAACAAAGTCTTTTCATTGTTTTATGTAGCATCATCATCCTATTTACTGGTAGATGATTCGAACCAGTGAAAACAACTATTTGCAAATCACTGCTGACATCAATCAAACCAACTGAGACGTGAATACAATAATTTTCGCTGGGTTGAAGTTTAGTGCATCCAACTGTTTTTTACGCTGTTCCCTTTCTCACAATCAGGTGATCTTTCCCCCTCCCCCTACTTTATTGGGAAATTTCAATTTTTCGGGGTAAATTAATAATCCTTAGTTTATTGCCAAGGATCAGTAATGCGCTTCTCTCGGATCTTTTCAATAGGATTTACAGACACTGACTGTGTGATGGTGTGATGGTTACAGGGCGCGTACTAGATAAATCTCACAGCATCACTATCTGTGAGGTGTAAAGTAAACGGTGTTTATACAATAGCCACAGCAGGGGATGTCAAAGATTGTCACAAATGGCTGATCGTACAGAGATATAACTGGCACTGAATACCAACAAAAGGTTTACTAAATGATTGCAAGGACCTTTCATAAAACACCAAGATGATTCATAATGTTGATACATGCTTATCCACTGAACCGCATTTAAAAAACCTCACAATACGAGTACCAAAGAACCGACTTGAATGAGAAATCAAGTGGAGATATGTAGGTACGTGACCGGATGTAATTTTCACTCGAATTGGATGTTGGCTCTGAGACGAGTTCCGGACCGGGACAAACTGTTCACGCGAAGGGGCTGACCGCTTTTCCCAAGTACCCTTTATTTTGGGGCATTTATGGTTATCTCCCGCCTACCTTTTAGGGAGAATCCGGATAATGAGCTTCGGGATGCACAGTGAAGTGCATATCAATATCATCCACTTCAAAAGAATCGCAACACATTCAATTGAAATTAGCCCATACTCCTGCGTGATCAGAAAGCAGTTTTCAATGGATTCATATAGTGTACCACAAATTCAGGTGAAAAGCTGAAATAGTTCTCCGGTTCAAAATTTATCTTAGTTTGCAACGTGATTGAAAATTGCCTTGTTTCGTGACTTGAAAAATGGAATTTCAGTGTGACTGTGATTAATCATAGGCATTATGTATTTGGAAAACTATTGTATTGCGAAATTTGACCTACTCCTCTCTAACAATTGGACTCAGTCAAAAGACCATGCTTGAAATATAGTCATACTAGTGAAAAAAATTAAATGAATGCATAAAATTCAACCCGGGGTTTTCATGTTTTTCAGGTAACTTATGTTTCTAAATGTGATCGTACAAAATGACTCAAAACGTCCTTGAGTAATCCGAAATAATTTCAGATTAAGCTTTTAACAGTAGCACAGCATATTTTCATCAATTTTCCAGTCATTCTAGGCGGTTCTCGTTAACAAACGTGTTGAGCGGTTTGAGTAATTTGAAGCAAACTACCGAAGTGATCTAAACTCCTCTTTTCCAAATTGTGCTTTATCTCAACTGATTACTTCCGATTTTGCCCAATTTCAAACATAGCATCCAATATCTCGGTCTGCACTCTAAGTGAGTTTTATATAAGTACTTTTCTATTCTTGAAATCTATCGTTGGTGGCCTGGTACGAAAAGCATTCGTTTGTTGACTAATCCTTCTCAAACTAAATATACACACGTACATTTATCCGATACAAGTTTACTACTTATTGATCAAAATAGTAGACACATTCTAAATGCTAGCTTTACATGCACACCAATCTTGAGTACCGTTTGTTACCTTCTGTCAACAATTTTTCTGTTTCTGTGTGCACACAAATAGTCAGCTCAAAACCATTCTCCAAATCCGAAGAGGGCAGTTCGTATTCCACCTTGGTGAAATACGAATCCCCAGTTGACTGTTCTGTTGCAAGATCAGTTGTTGAAAACGATTCGAGATTGCCCAGTGTGTATCCGCTTGTCTCGGAGTAAAGTTTCAATACATGTGGAATATGTACAGGCAAACCCAAGTTCCATAATCCACTGTAACTCGGTGCTTTTGGGTGAGCTCGTAAAAGGACCCCGGTCCCGTGAGGTTTTCCGGCAGAAAATTCACCCTATACGGAGACAAACATTAATTATATCATGATTTCTGTAAGCATAAATGACAACAACTCAAAACTTGCAATCCGTAAATGTTTTACAAAACTGTCTTTTTGCCTATGCCAAATCGGTTCGATCAACGAACTTAAAGCTATTAAAAAAAGATCAACGGATTTCAGCCTAACTGCCAAGAGAGGATGAACTTACTTCATACATATCTCCAGTGTTTATTTGCAAGATTCCCTGACCTTGGAAAACATCCACTTCCCATGATCCATCATAAGTAAATAAACTACAAACATTGAAATTTATTACACTTCACATTTATTACGCAGTTTTTAATTTTCCATAGCCGTGTCTTTTGTTTCGTACAAAATTTCCCGCATAACTCGATCCATTCCGATATTGAAGGAGACCTTCACCTATGTAACGTTGTTCAAATTCAATTTGAAGTAATATGATCATTTACCTTCCATTTGGTTATTCACCCAGCTTCCCTCATACATATCACCGTTGCCAAATATCATTCGTCCGTATCCATGTCGTTCGCCCAGATGAAATTCTCCCTCGTATGTGTTACCGGACCATGCGTAATAGTGTTTCCCCCGACCTGTAATCTCATTCTGATCGAATGTGCCCTCGAAGTAACTTCCGTCGGACATGATTAGTTTCCCTTTACCGTGTTTTATGCCATGTTGCCACTCTCCGACATATTGAAAATATCCATGCCCGTATGTATACACACCGAATCCTAGGCATTCAAAAAGGGGAACATATTTCTCATGAACAAAACTACCGTGACGTTCGGTTTGATTTGTCTGACCCGTGTATTTGCCCGTCAGCATTTTTTGAAATCCAGCGATAACTGGCAGTATCTGAGCTTTTGAGTCCTCTGAAATAATAAAAAAGCAATAAATTTATTATCGACCAAGTGATTATTACATCAATCAATGGGTGCTAGGAATAGGTAACAGAAAGGGCACCTCAATGTATGCTACCGCGAATTATATCATGCCCAAAAGTCTTAGGCACCTATTTGGAAAAACCTCTAACCCGACTCAGATACTTGATGCACAGGAGTAAACCGGTTCTCCTACTTAGGTAGTTGCTGGACAAATGACGGTAACATAGTAAGCGAAGAATCCGCCCACATTTCGAAGCCGAGTAAGGGTGATTGAAGCACTTCTGGTGCCAGCATGATGTTTCCTTGAAACTAAAAGGTCGCATATACTGCTCCACCGGGCAGTCAGTCCTGTCTCACGGTTGACATAGCCTAAGCTCGAGCATGGAAGACATTCATTGAGTGT